CCTTCCTATTAAATTTATTTTTGTATAGAGAAGTAAAAACAGTGTCTTTGAATGTGCAGTGAGCGGCAGCGAGTCTCCTTTCAAGAATCAGTAGTTTCCCTCTTCATACGCTCCACAAAATGTTCCCGCAAATGTGGGAATGTTTGGCCATGTTGGCATACAAAAATGTATTTTTTGATATCTCGTTTTATGATAGCAATGTTGCGAAATGAGTGAATACCGGGTGAGCAAAGCAAACTATCTGAATTCCAGTTGACAACAATTCAACCACAGCTATCTAATCAGCATCAAAATTCTGATCATGGTTCCTGTATTCTCTGAGAACTTAATAAAAGCTTAGTTTTTCATGTTCTCATTTTTGTTGAGCACAGGATAACAGCCTTATCAAACCATTTTTTCCCCCACTCTTGGCTTCTCTTCCTCTTGAATCAGCATCAAAATTCTGATCATGGTTCCTGTATTCTCTGAGAACTTAATAAAAGCTTAGTTTTTCATGTTCTCATTTTTGTTGAGCACAGGATAACAGCCTTATCAAACCATTTTTTCCCCCACTCTTGGCTTCTCTTCCTCTTGAAAAGTCTTCCTTCTGACCCACTGCTTTAGGAATGTCCAGATGCATAAATTGCGCTGTCATGAAGCTATTTATTTTCCTTGAGCATGTCACGTGCCGTTGTTGTTGTCCCCCCACACCGCCGGTGCTATTAGATCTTCGATCCTTCCTGAACAAATGACATGCCGGTAGCCTGGGCAATGTGAACGTGAAGTATAATGCGTGATTTTGTCCCTCATTCTCCCAAAAGAAAGAGATGCACCATTAAACCCCAAGGAGTAAAAACCACCCACCAGCATTACAGAGCACAGGGAGCTTGTTAAAATGGCCCCTCTCGGCGCCCTGAGCTTTGGACTATGCCATGTTTAAAGTACAGTTGACAGTCCCGCCGAAGCACTCAGCATCCATTTCCAAGCTCCAAGGTCGTGACCTCCTACTGCTACTTTGTTGTGGTTCAGTTAAAGTGCATTGCAGGTTGCCTTTGTTAGTGAAACAACGTTGAATGTATTAAATGGCTGCCTTTGATGCCTTTCTTCACTTAGCGGCTGCCGTTTTAAGGCGTACAGAGAGAGGTGACTTCACATTATAAATGTCTTCCACCCACTGTTTTTCCACAAGAAAATGAAAGGTTGAATTGAAGTCTTTTTGGCGTTTAGTAAAGTATTATTGTTATTATTTTTTGATTAAGGTGGGACCTATTTGAGTGGCTTCTACCTTGGGCACAAAAGAACAGAGGCCTGGTCTCGGCTTTATGGTTGTGGTAAACAATAGCGAGTAGCACAACAGGGGGTGAACTTGTAAGCTTCTGATGTAATCAAGATACAGAAGTGAATTCCCATGCAGACGTCCTGCAAGCAAGTAGCTCAGCTGTATTGTGCCGTCACAAAGATTTAGTGATATGACTTCCTTTGATATTATTGGGAATTCTACCGCAGTCACTGGAGGACTTGAGAAACCCGTGCCAAACATTGATTCAACAATAAATACCTAAATGTAGCTCAACATTCTCCTCTCAATCTTACTTTCATGTTATTAATGGGATGCTACAGTGACTTTTATACCGTCTATGCTTAAGAAATACATTCATTGAAAAGAATATAATATTTATGTCACGAGGTTTCTAGATTGGAAAACCTTACAACTATCAATACTGGCTTCTTTTTTTTTTAAATTGTCAACAATTGTGTGACTGGCTCAATTTGGTACAGTAGCTCTGTGCGCTGGTACACTGGGCTGTTGTCATTTCCATCCTGAAGACCTTTGACATTTCATACTGTAATTCGCATGTTGGATGTAATGTGCGCCATGCTATGAAGCTCTGACAAGACTTATTGTTTTTTTTTTTCCCTTTTCCCGTTTTCTTTTTTTTTTTTCACCCTTACATTTACTTTATTTTTTGGTGCTTGTCTAAAAATCATTTAACCAATGAATCCAATCTCTTTCAATAAAAAGGAGTCGGGCTTCACTGTGGATATATGGCTTCTAAATAGACCCATGTGAAATAACATTCACCTACAGTATGTCACTTACACTAAATTTACTCTATTCATTTGAGACCATATGGACTTTCCTACATGTGAAAACCTCCAGATTTTCTTATTCCGTGATCTCTCAACCTGAATCGCAACCTACTTTTGATTCATCTGGAAACACTCAAGCGCATGTGTGCTATTCAGATGTAAAACGTGTGTTGTCATATTGGACTAGCAAGCCAACACTGTAAACGGGTGGCATTTGGATGATGTGACATTTGCTTCCGCTTATTAGCCTTCTTCTAGCCAAGCTGTTCTGAGTTACACTGACAGAAATTGGGGTCACACAGATGCGTACTGATATGATTGGCACCTGGGAGACTCATGGTTTCACACTTTGGGGATTATCCTCCATTTTCCAGGACGTTATGCCGAGAGACTGTGAGAAGCATGACATCATGATTGGCCAATGGATGTTGTGGGTTGCGTGTGTGTGTCATCGCACATTCGCGATCACGATCAACTCCCAGGTCCAGAGAAAGATTACACTGGGATGTGGAAACTGTGTTTCACTGCGGCAATTATATAATGTAATCGAAAGTAATGGTTGGAAAGGGGGATTTCAGCTGTGAGCAAGCATGTAGCTGCAGTGCATGTTTGGATTCCAAATGTATTGCCTTCTGTCACTGAATAAATTGGCGTAACACTAAAGTCGACGGACTTCAGAGCCATACGTTGTTAATACCTACTCCACTTGTCTGTGAGAAATCATAAAGGTGAATGGCCGAGTCCAGAGATCCTGGGCAAAATCCAGTTTGACTGCTGTACTTGTTTTTTAAAATTGCAATTCATATTCAATCCCGGGTTTGTGACTGTGCTACTTGTGCCCGCTTTGAATCAAACTGCAGTTCAAGCAACTGGATTTTCTCATTGTCTTTAGCTCTACCCCCGCGATTGTGTTCCCCATTATCCCATATTCCCATTGTAAGCACGTCTAAATATAGATCAAGAATTTGCTTAGGGGGCACTCTTTTGCGGTGGTGGTTATAGAGAAGGTTGGATATTTGCCATAATTGTAAATGCATGTGTAGCCTAAGCTCATGAAGAGAGACGGGGGAGTAAAAGGAGTATTTGGCTTTTTTTTTTTTTTTCTGGCTTCTGCTCTTTCCCAGCTGCTGCGCAACTTATTTGTCCCTTCCAACAAGGGGTATTCATGAAGCGGGCATTGCGACTGCACTGATACACATTTCAAACACCTCTTTTCCCCTTCAGAAGTGTTACCTGTGAACAGAAAGTTCTTGGAAATCAGCCCACGATCATTCCCTTCTCGTTTTTTGAGGGGAAGAAAAAAATCCCTACTTTTCGTCAGAAATAGAAGTGCTCACATCCTGTCCACAATCAGCCGTGGAAAGAAAGAAGGCTCTGGCAGGGCCTGTCCTGTGAAAGCCGGGCCTAAAAGAACAGAACATGCAGGCGTGCCGCGGCGTTTTATATGGCTCTTGTTCCGAGCCTTTGATGACACTGTTTAGTTTAGGAAATATCTAATAAGTCAAGTATTCTGTCTAATGTGCTGCCAGTGGGTTTACTATTTGCTCAGAGGTCTTGAAACACTATCTCTGCCACGGCAATAATATACATTTAAAATTCCCATGGAGTGGGTGGGAGGGAGTGATGCAGAGTGCAATGGGGGCAGCTGGGCGTACATGCTGTAATAGCAACCATGTGCATGTTCAGAAGAGGGTACGATAGGATGCTCCACACCTTACATTCATTGGAAGCGCTCTTTTCCAAATTCATGTCATCTGTAAAAATAGCCCTAGATAATCGAATGTGATCACGTGTATTGATGTGGTCTGGAAATATGGTGTGATAGTTGGCAAAAGCCAGCAGAGAGTATGCAGGCCTTTATAATTAATAAAGATGCACCAGTGACCTGAATCGTTATTGTCAGTTTGATCTTTCATTTGCAGTCACTGTCATCCTTTTTTTCACTACGTCTACTGCTGTTACTCTGTTTGATATTTAGAAGGTTTTTTTTTTTTGTGTGTGTGTGTGTGTGTTTGTTTTGCATTGCTCATTTAGCTTTTGCTCAGCCCCAAATTAAAGTACCACCCATTATTACTTGTTTGTGATTTTGTTTGATGACAGACATGTTTTGTAGATTAAACATGTCCATTCCTTCATTCTTGTTTGAGGTCCTGCAATCAAGTCTCGAAACGTATCTTCTGGCCATGAAATCTTTTTTTTTATTTATTTTTTTATTTATTTATTTTTTTTTAATAGCCACAATCGTTGTAAGGCTCACCATCTGGAGCCAAGCATACAATTTGGGCTGCTTTATGCGTGATACCACAGCCACTGCAAAAAACAATTGGATTTTACGAGGGTGAAGCCCTTCTTTAAAGATATCTTCAATATTTCGAAATTGCTCAACTATGTTTGGGACCACAAAAAAGGTCCCACAGCATGCCTTTAATGTTTTTGTGGCTATATGATGCTCCCTTTCCTTGGTCAATTGGTCCATGGTTTCAATCAAGTCCGCTATTTGGTTTATGTCTTGTTGTAAAGAATCAGGACACAATAACTCTCTGCAAAGAAGAAAATGCTCTGATGTTTATTTAATAGCCATTGTTGTCCCTTTCCTTTATGCCCTTAAACTCGGTTTGGTCAAGGCCTTTTTGTGTTTGAATGTTGAAAGTTCCTACACATTGTGCATGTGGATCATTGTAATTTTTTTTTAAAAAACAAATCTATTATTTTATTGAGTTTAATTGTCTGCGGAGGTTAGGGTAACCCATACGTTTTACACACGACTTATATTTACACGTCACTAACCACACAAATGATCGTGTCTCATGATATTTAATCAGCCATTGGCACTTTGGTATTTCCATTGGTCGCATTTCCAATACAATACAAATGCGATACAATCTGTCATTTGAGAATCAAATGTGGCCTTTCTTTGTGCCTTTATGCAGATGCGTAAACAGGAGCAGAAGCAAAGCAGTCGAGGCTCCTTGACAGGAATCGACTCTTCTTCTCGCCACAGCGGCAACGGGAAGGACAGCGGCTTCGGCAGCGATAGCGCCCGCATCCGAATTGTCCAGATTGAGCAGCAGAGCGGGACCAGTCACCACTGCATAGCCAGGCCTTCCCAGAAGTCCACTATTACCAAAAACCTCAACTTTATTCCATTCGACATCTTTCTTACGGCTAGTAGGCTGTCTTTCATGGCCTATGAATGCTCTAATCTCCCACAGGCCCCCACTTCATTCGACAGCTCGCAGGATCGGAAAGAGCCCATTGAAAAGGTAAACACAACAAGTGTGACTTGGAAGCCGTCATAACCGGACCCTTTGTGCCTGTGCTAAACACAAGTTAACATCGGTTATGTAAGCAAATAAACAATGTGATGGGGACAAATCAATTGAGCACATTCACATCTATAGTATGAAGTTAAACAGCTCCTGCAGCCGTGAGAATGCTTATCACGGCGGTTTTTGATGCCCAGTTACCAATTGAGTCCACTCCAAGGATTTTGTATTGTTTCCGAACCATAAGTACCTCTGGAAAGAGTTTGGTCTTGTCGCGGCATTCTTGCTGTGTTTCGTAGCCATGATGAAGATCACATTTGGTGCTTCCCAGGAATCGAGTTGTTCATTTCAATTGTTGCTTCAAATTGCTGCAAAGTTGTAATATAATGTTGCCACTTGAACTTCATTTGTGCATTTAAATTCCTGCACTGAGCACGCTCCGGGAGAATATTTATTCGGGTCTTTTTACAGTTGGAAACAAATGGAGCACAAGCAGAAACAATGGCTGTCAATCCAGCATGCCCGGGTTTGACTAAAATGGCAAGTGGGCTTTGTACACATATCAGTGTTTGGATTTGTTAAATGGGAACGATCGTTGAATCACACATAGTCAGAAACTTCGTAAACTTAGATATGGGTCTCGAGGACAGTCACTGTGTTTCCCCAACATTTGATTAGATTAGCAAACGCCCGGTTCATTTTGCTCTCCATTGACACTTTCTTCAGGTGGGAAAGAGTGCTCTTAACCAGCCGGAAATTCTGCCTGAGGCTCCTCCAGCCTCGACTTGCACATCCCCAGACCCTGCTGCCCAGGTTACTCTGACAGACCTGACTGCTGAAGACATCCTCAACAGCAATGTCTCCCCGATGCTGAGAGGCAGTCTGCTGTCCCTTAACTCCGTGTCAACCCCCAGCCGCTCCTCAGCACGGCAAGCGCTGGGGGTGACAATTGTGAGGCAGCCCGGAAGAAGAGGGCCTGCTGACCAGGTGCTGGAACCGCTGCTGTATCTGCAGGTGATCCAACCTTCGGCTCTTCTTAGCTGCCACCACCGCAAGCAGAGAATGGAGATCTCTGTGTCCAGACATCGGTGATCAACGGGACAGTTACTTGCAACTAGCAAGAAAACTGTATGACACGCAGGCAAACATTGTCATAAACCAAAGAATGCATCCAACAAAACAATCCAAAATAGACACATTTTTTTCGCAAGACAGAAAAAAAATAAACATTAAAATACTGTACGTATTTTACTGTTGTGATTTTTTTGGGATACACCTGTATTGCAGTTTTTGTTATGTAAACAGTTTTTGGACAGTATATTATTTTTGTATTTTATTGATTGTGTTGTTACAAGTGCATGTGTGCGTGTGAGTGCGTGCGCGCGTCTGTGTGTGTGTGTGTGTGTGTGTGTGTGTGTGTGTGTGTGTGGGTGTGTGTGTGTGTGCGTGCGTGCGTGCGTGCGTGCGTGCGTGCGTGTGTGTGTGTGTGTGTCCTGTGGGTTTGCGTTTCACAGGGCTTGGCCGTCTATTTTTAGACTGATATCGTATCCATATGAGTACCTTGAAGCTAAATATTTTGACCCGAGGGTTTGTCTTACATTTCATCCAAATTGATCTGCAATAGGCAACGGTGTGAGTGGGCTTTTGAGTGGATGAGTAAGTGGAACTTCCTCATCCCTTGGAGGATTTCGTGAATCCATGAACAGTGTGTGTAGGCGCAGGAAATCCTCCACAGTTTAGCTCCCTGATCCCAGTAGGCCGGCCGGACTGTAGTTGTTATTGATGATGGTTCGAGGAAGAATTTTGCCCCTCACACACATCCCTTCCTGCTGTCCACGGAAAGCCCTCAGCGTATGTGTCCACCAAGGATCATTCCGCCCAACACAATGCTGCTCTGTACAACACAGCAAATAAACGACACACACACACACACACACACACACACACACACACACACACACACACACACACACACACACACAGCAAACCACCAACACACATTTCCACCTTCCCATCTGCTTCTTTCAGTGGACACTAGAAGTCAAACAAAAGTGAGCCTTTGCATATGGTGGATTTCAAATGAGTCACAATTTCAGCTTTTAGTTCCAGAATCTTTTGTCCTTTTATTTATATACATATCCATCCAAATTTTGTTTTATATACATTACAGTGTACATCACTAAACATAGCACTGCAATGTATAATAGTTACAGAGTTTTATTTGAGTCTCCTCATGTGCAAGATTAGCTGCAAATCTTCTGGATTCTTGTGCAATCTGTAGATCTCACAAATCCAACACTTTTACAACCTAATGTGATTTGGACGGACAAAGTGGAGGAGAGTAAAAGTGTAAATCTGGAGAAGCTGGAAGAACCAAAAGTCGGACAAGATAAGACGACAACTGTTGGATTAATAATCTTGCTTGTTTTTGTTTGTCAAGAAAATGTGATTGAGTTTTGGCTTCCCCCATCAGCAATGGCCACAGCGAATATCACATGATTTGTTTGGCAACAAACACACTTGTCCAGGCTTTGCTCCAGCTGTGCCTAAGTATTGGGTCACTGGCTGGGCACTATCTGCATGAAACATAGCAACATGTACCGCTACATCACCAGTGACGCATTTATGAAATAAACGTCCGCAAGTGTTCATTTGTACTTCTGGATACCAGCATAGAAAATCATGTTTCTCACCAATACATGAAATATAAATTGATGGCGTGAATGTTGCTGTCCTGACTTCTAAAATGTCTCTCCGTTACTTTTCCCAAAACATCATTTTCTCTTGAAAAGGAGAAGAGAGAAGTTCCCACATCATTTTCTCTTGAAAAGGAGAAGAGAGAAGTTTCTCCAAATTGCATGTGCATATATTCTTTGGATAAACATTAAGAAATAAGCGAGTGACGATATGCCCGTCTTCTTATGAAATAACTGGAGAGTGTGAGTGTGGGATGTGATGAAATTATTAATACTAAATGACTATGTCTAAAATATAACATAATCTAGTGTTACACATATAGGTTCAACGCAAATAATAATAATGGTAATCCACTAAATTATCTCGTAAACTTGCAGCAGTCGTTTCGATAGTTAACTTAGTAATGATTTCGTCCCACCCCTAATGTAAACTCGAATCCACACATATTTGCCTAATCAAGATTTTGGTCATAAATGATGAATAAAATTTGTGTGTACACACTAAGATCATTTTACGAATAACTGGTGTACAAAATTAAAATACAGGACCTCACAGTGCCTTTGTGTCTCACTAGAGAAAGTGAAGGAAAGAGGTCATCATGTCGTGTCGGCAACGGCAACATTGAATCAATCCTATGAACATAACCTGCCTTTGTGGCTACATTATATCTATACTCTTCATCACACATGTCCATCCCACACACACAAGCATGTACGTGTGCACGCACGCGCGCACACACACGCACGCACGCACACACACGCGCGCACGCACGCACGCACACACACACACACACACACACACACACACACAGACAAATGACATCGACAGGATCCAGGCTCAGTGTGAGGTCGCCCCGCCATCCCCCTACACACTCTGGGTCAACGTATGTTGAAAATGTCTAGAATTGACCACACATGCTACTGGTTTCCCTCCACCCACAGCAGCCTTTACAGACTTCTTTTTGTTTGTTTGTTTGTTTGGTGTGTTTGTTTTAATCTAGGCATCCTTATTGATGATAACCTGCTCCTACAATGAAGCAAAGGAATTGCTACGAGCAGAGAAAATGATGAAAAGGCATTAGACTTTCATTTCAGAACCATACACTACGCACAAAAGTTACGAATATTTGGCTTGCAGTAGAAACTCGTGGATAATGTAAAACGTTCATGTGACAGTGATATAATGAAAGTCGAACATTTAAGTAGAAGGATAGACTCATCTCAAAAACATTCCATTGAAACAAAAATGGTGGGTACACCACAACAAAAAATGTCCAGGTCTCAGTAATTCGTTATGTGCCCTTGAGCATCAATTACAGCTTGCCGACGATGTCTCATGCTGTTCATGAGTCGACTTACTTTCTGCTGAGGCACGGCATCCCACTCTGCTTGGAGGGCATTCAGGCAAGGAATCAAGGATCAAACGCTTGTTGTGAATTTTGCTGACACACACACACACACACACACACACACACACACACACACACACACACACACACACACACAGAGCTGAAACTCTTGCTTCATGTTCAACTGGATGGTGTTTCAGCAGAGTCATCACTCACTGCAATTAACGAAACTAATGCATACAAAATTAGGATTTTTAAATACCTCATTTCAAGGTTCATCTGTGATTATTAAAAAGTAGGTTAGTCTAATTTTTCCCCCAAATCAGTGATGGAGTAGCACATCCTGAGACACCATCTTTTTTTCCCTTGTGTCATCTTTCCTAAACATTTCCAGTCCCGTAGCAGGTCAGTCAGCAAGTCCGAAGATGTAACAGCTACCACTTGGAAAGCGAGAGATCAGCCTTCTCTCCAATGAGAGGCAGGAGGTGATAGATTAGCTAGAACAAATTGGAACCATTACTCTCCGATGTCCCTGGTTCCCATCAAAGTACAGCTTCTAAGAAATGCTGTCAGTTACTGTATACAAGCTTGTGCACCTCCGAACCATCGAGACGCATTCTAATTTGAATCAGATGGCATCAGAGGCATGTGTCACTGGCCTTATATGTTGTAGGCTCTTTCTGTGACTTTGGGATCCTACAGATACCTTTCAACCATTTTTGGTTACAAAAACACAGGCTTACCCAAACATCCTCTTCACATACAGGCAGTGTGTAATTGGACACATCGCCACCTGTGTCTGACACAGCTGCTCTGCTGTCAAAAGTGAAGCAGAAAATGTCAGCCTGAGACTGAGGGCAGAGATGAAAACAAACTTTGTGGTTGTTGCACACACACGAAGCAGGTTCAAAGGGACAAAAATGTCACGCTTGACCTTGCCAGAAATGTAAGGGAACCTGCTTAATAAGCGTATTTTCTCCAAATGTAGATGTGTATGCACCTTTGTCAGACCCTGTTGTCCTAGTTTCTCGAGTGCTAATCTAGGTTGACATCAGAGAAGGCCTGTCTCTGATCTCCCCCCCCCCCCCCCCTCCCCCTTCCTTTACAAAATTGTTCTCTGTGAAATGTTTTGAATGAATCATATACGTTTTTGATCTACAGAACTGATGCTCACTCCTCTGTTTGGGCTACCACTTAAAGCACCCACTGTAATTTCTGGCCTATTGAGCACACCTGAATCTAGCCACACCCACTCAATTATTTATTTTTTTAAGTTTCATGCAAATTTAGAGGCATATTCATTTCCAATAATAGAAGTATAAGAATGTATGACTTGTAAGGTTTAGGGGCATTGGAAAATGAAGTTTATCCATAAATGAACAGGTGAACCTGTATCATTATGGTTGGATTAATAATATATTAATCTTTCTTTCTCGCTCTCTCTCTCCCTCTCTCTCTTTCATATATATCTATATGTGTATGTATATATATGTATATGTATATTTAAATAAATGGGTGGAGAGAAGGGAAGCAGTAGTGAAACAGGCCAAAATGCAGATGTTAGTGGGTGAGGAGGGCTAAGGGACTAGTTGCCTACTAGATGTGGTTTAACCAAATGTGGGAGTATAGAAATAAGTCTTAAATCCATCTAATTCCCATGGATATGGCATTCCACAGGACTGAAACCCATATAAAGAATGTTGAGAAATCAGCCTTTTAGCTCTTGGAGTCACCATGTGATTAACATAGTATGAGATGTCTGGAAAATACTGTCTGTATTGCAATATCTGTGTGTGAATATGCAAGTTTATGAGGTGGGAGCGTTAGGAAGGGGTGTGACATCAGCCAGTCTGCAGATGAGTGTCTAGGCATGAGCGGGGGAACACTTTGTGTGCTGGGATGCAGTGCTACTATGCGTAAGGAAGGGGAATAAGAAAGAACCAAATTTATTGATTTGTAATTATAGTTTCCTCAATCCCAAATGTTGAGATGGAATTGTACTACTTTCTGCAGGGGTCACAATCATACACAATGTTATGCAAAGGTATAAGGTTATGTATGCATGTAAAGGCTTGTACTTTATACCATGTGACGTTAAGTGATTCCTCAGGAACTGTTCCTCAGTTCTTTTAGTGCAGGCTGGCTGTTGGGGTACTGTTTGGTGGGATTTTTCTGTGTGGGAGCGAAAAAAGAGACACTTCATGTTGACAGTTGGGCACAGAACACAGCGCCAGGCACAGCCCTGACTGTGATGAGAGCCAAATTTATGTGATTACTGCTACGGTGGAGTTGATTAGGCTGGGCCCTGGTGGAAAAGTAAAAGATCTGGCCTACTAAAAGAGAAGAGAAGCAAGAAGATGAGCTACGTGAAGTAGAGAGGGTGAAAAAGTGTGTGTGTGTGTGTGTGGGGGGGGGGGGGGAACAGTAACTTACTCTAAATGAACAGCTGCATCCACGCTTTTTATTCCATTTCCGGAAAATTTCGTGGTGTAAGTCAGGTGGAAATGATAAGCTACATTGCACAGCAAATTGCACCTATCTGCCCTCCAGTTCCATCCTTCCTTTTTACCATCCGCTTCACTTCCACTGGATTAAACAAAAGAGTCCAGGTTGCAGTGACTGGCTCTGTTTGTGTGCCTGTGTGCGTTTGTGCGTGTGTGCGCGTGTGTGCGTGGGTGTGCATTCATTGGCTCTCCTGGCAGTGCTCCTGCTCATGTCATCTCGTTCTTGTACTGTACCTGGGAACAAGACATACGGAAGGCCTAAACCCCCTTAAAAGCACCAGCGCCTTGAGGATACCATGTGAAGCAGCTGGACTTGTTTTGAGCTGCTTCCCTCTCCCATCATCATGACCAAGTGGAAAAATGGGATAATGGAAGTGGTGTAACACGGCATGGAGTTAATTCATGTGTCTCTGTAAATTCCAGTCAAGTGTTTGAAGAGTGCAGTGCACAAAGGCACAAGCAAAAGACGTCTTGAATTTATGTGTCTTTCATGAAGAAAAGATTCCCTTTCATGCTCTTCCACGTTCATTTATGTTATGTATATGTTTGATTATAAAAACAGGAGAGTGAGACTGAGACCATCTGTTCTTTGACACATATTTGCAAGCACAGCTGAACGATCAGAAAGAAAGACTTGAAGTTTGATTCATGAGACGTGATTAAAAATGCAGCGTCCTGTGGGTTTGGTAGCAGCACATTTTGCTTATTGGAACACTGATGAAGCCTGTCGCTTTTTTTATGGAACCAAATGGAATTTGTTCAGTTATGGTGGATTTTCAAATGACTAGCAGGGACCACACCCAACTCTCTATTTATTCAGATTTTGCCTTGGGTTAACACTAACATTAAGAAGCCTTGTGTTAGCATGTGCGCACACTAAATAGTCCATCAGTAAAGTGCCTGTCATAAAATGAATAGACTAGAAAATTGCAATTTCCCTTGCAGTGATGCAAAACCACAGAAGAAGGAACACCCACAAAGCCCCAAGACTAGTGAAGTGTGTGTGAGCAGGATGACAATACATTTGTCATGAACAACCTGAAAGCATTGCTCCTTTTAGCTCGCTTAATATCTTCTTTCTAACTCGCCACTTTATAAATATTACATCGTCAAGCACTGGAGAGACCATCTGCTTTAAAAAAATAAAAAATAAAAATAAAAAATCAGCCCCGGATCTGTTCCAGTGAGTAGTAAACTGTTGATAACACTGTGGGTTGACATCTAATTATATCCCTCTAATTCCATCTCTCTGTTCCCTTGACAGCTGAACTGCATTTACAGTTCTCTCGCCCTTTGAAAGTCAACCCAACACTGGTCAAACTGGAGCAGACCAAAGCCTACCTGAACAAAGTCTTGCCAAACCACACGCGGAAAACGTCCAGCCCTCATTCATCCCCCACAAAGATGCCAACCAGAGCCTTTTCCCCACCCCATCAAAATCAAGGCCACAGTAAAGCAAGCGGCATCGATGCCTTGGCTTTGTCCTTCCACAAGGTCTCGCTCCACACGACACAGATTGTGATTGTCCTGGAGACGGAGGCCCATCCGATGAGGCCCAGCGTGACCGTGTCTGTGTCATCACTGATGGGAAGTCTCAACTTAAAGACAGGCCCGAACATTGAGGGTGAGTACAAGTAAAATATGTTTTGGTGGGCATGGAAAATACATTTGTTTTAAGATGAAGGGGTCACATTTTACAGCTGAGGTAGAAACCTCTTCTTGTGCTAATATATTGTATGTTTATGCAAAAGCTAATGCAAGGGTGTTAAACTCATTTTTGTCACGGGCCACATTGTAGTTACGGTTTGACTTGGAGGGCCGTTATGAATTTTGAGAAACCATTATAAATGTTTAATCACCTCCACATATTACATACACAGCGCACAACGAATGCATGGGTAACCTAGTTTTAAAATCAGAAGTCAAGAATAATGACTGTTATTGTGGATTACATATGACAATTTGAAATTTTGGTTCAGACTTTAGCAAGCATCATGGAACTTGACATGCTTGATTTGCTTTCGTGGGTAACATAAAATGATGTGGCGGGCCAGATCTGGCCCCCGGGCCTTGACTTTGACACCTGTGAGCTAATGCATTCTGTATAGCAAAAAAAAAGAAAAAAAAGTACTACACTGTGGTATTCATTCATTCATTCATTCAACACAAATGGTTTTTATTGTCAAATCACATGCCACAACTGTTTTGAAATGATCCAAATGCAGCATTTTGGGGCAGTGAGTGTACGAGGATGCGTTGCATGCGTAACTCAACTTTGCGTTGCTTTGGGAGTTTTTACGTGCTTTTGCACCTCAGGAGTGCGATTGCACTTTTGCTGCTGAAAAGGTTTTCACGAACATTAGTGCTTAATTTTTCATACAATTAATGTGGTAAATTCTCTTGATCACATTTTGTGTTTAATTGGAAATGTTAACTGCCAAGGTCTGTACAAAACGCATGCTACAGTTTAATGAATGATAAAATTTATTTGTTGCTGGATGCAAAATATTCCGTTTGACTGTACTTTGTAACGGGCGGTTGCCAGATGTTCCGCTGTTACATAGGAAGTTGTAGATGTTCTATTGAGGTCATGCATGGTAGGTTAACTTGGACTTTGTCAGTGAGAGAACGAGTAGCTGTCACTTGCTTGCTGTCTTTGTACTGCCACTTGTGATTGGCTGACAAAAATTTAGACTCTACCAATGAATCGTGATAGCATAAATGTAGTCACGAAACATCGGAGGAATTACAATATACTTTTCACTCAAGTCTTGCTGGAACGGCGCTGCAGTGGAGCGTAACTAGCTATGAACAGCAAATTGATTAGTGTCAAGAGAGAAATTATAATATACAGACACGCATTACGTTTTGTATTTATGGATGGCTGCGATCCCAAACTAGCGCACAGAGACAAGTATGGCAGGGCCAGCAAAACAGAATTCTCCAGCTAATTTAAAGGCACTTGTGTGGCAGTATTTTGGCTTCTCTGTTTACAAAAGAAAGCAGCGAGAAAACTACAGACAGGAGAAAGACTGCGTGCAAGCATTGCAAGCGACTGATAGAATACAATAATACGACTAACATGTCATAACATATTAGCCAGCATCACAGGAAGCTACTGACCCCACCACCTGAGCGAAGATTAGCAAGAGAACAAACAACAGTGACAAACACATTTCCCTTAGCTCCCTCCAGTACAAGGGCCAAAGCTATTGCACGTTCCATCAGTGTTTAGATTGCTAAAAACATGAGACCATTTTTCACTTTGGAAAATGAAAGTTTTGAGGAGATGATAAACACTTGCCAGCCAAAATGCACCATTCCATGTCACCCGCACTTTAGCCAGGGGGATGATGGCTGAACTCTACATGCAAGTCAAAGCTGATGATGTTGAGGTGCTTGAAAAGGCTGATAGTGTAGCGATGACGACTGAAGGATGGATATCGAGGGCAACGCAGTTTACCTTACAATTCCGGCTCAGGTGATCACCGCCGAGTGGAAAATGGCTAGCTTTGTGCTTCAAACGCGTCCTCTTTTTGAAAGACACAGCTGGACAAACATTGTGCAAGTACAGTGCAATGCCGCAGCTGAAATGACCAAAGCATGACATCGCTGTTATGATGGATAACACAGAAATATGGATGTTGCCGTAAGAAAAGCTGGACTTGGGCCTCATATTAAGCGTTTCACTCATACACTGAGTTTAGCAAGTACAGGCAGTACTGGCGGTGCCCCCATGTGTCACGTCTGTTAGGTCGCATCAGGCACATTGTTTCTTTCTTTCACCGTAGCCCAACTGCCACCACTGTGTAGCTGCTAAACAGAAGGCACTTGACCAAGACAACCATCACAAGCTTCTTATGGCAGTTATAACGCACTGCAATAGCAGTCTGGACATGATTTAACTCTTTGGACCAACGGTTAGCGGTCGCAGCAGCTCTTTTTAGTGCAGACGTGAGATGCGGAATCCACGGGAAATTGACAGACTAGATCATTCTGACATCCGTGATGCTGGGGATATTGTGACACTTCTGAAACCTTTAAAAACTGTCCCCACTGTACTCGTCGATGACCACAGTCCCACAATATCGCTCAGTGTGCCCCTAAAATAGATGATTGAGCAAAGCATGGAACATAATGAAGATGAAACAGTCCCAGTGATTGGTATGAAGGCAGCTACCCTGAGCAATCTATCAGAAACAGGTATGAAAGGGACTACAACCACCTGCAAGTGCACCGCAGTTGACCCCAGATTTTGCACCCTACCCCATCTAGAGGAAAACCAGTGAGAATGTTTTCCACATGGTGAAGAACAAAACTGTGCAACTACTCCACTTGACTATTTTCAACTATTGTTGTGATAAATATTTCTATTAATATTGCTGTAGTAGATTTTGCACAAAGAATTATGAACAGAAAGCATTAAAGTGTAAAATAAAATAGATGGGGTTTTTTTTTTGTTTGTTTTTTTTTTTTTTGCTTTTGTTAATTTCCCTATTACAGTAAAAAGTATTTGTTTTGTTTTTTGGGGTTTTTTGCAAAGTTACAAAACAGTACTGTTTGGAACAAGGACACAATGCAGATGTTAAAAACATCTCTTGGTTATAAAATGAGATTCATTTCCTTAAGAAGAAAAATTCAAAGTGAGTGAATTATGTATCTTGTATATATTTATATGGCTGGCACGGTGGTCAACTGGTTAGCATGTCCACCTCACAGTGCAAAGGTGCAGGTTTCGATTCCAGCTTCGACCTTCCTGTGTGGAGTTTGCATGTTCCCCCCATGCCTGCGTGGGTTTTCTCCGGGTACTCCAGTTTCCTCCCACATTGCAAAAACATGCATGGAAGGTTCATGTCCCGAGATATGATTGTGAGCACGAATGGTTGTTCATCTATGTGTGCCCTGCGATTAGCTGGCAATTTGCTGTCTGTGTGTGTGTGTGTGTGTGTGTGTGTGTGTGTGTGTGTGTGTGTGTGTGTGTGTGTGTGTGTGTGTGTGTGTGTGTGTGTGTGTGCGCGCGCGCGCACGCACGCACGCTGTATTTATTCTTTGTCATTATTTTTTTTTGGGGGGGGTGGTGGCGGGTGTCCTCTGTGGAGGCTCGTACCAAATGAGCCACGAATCGGTACCAGTGTTTGGGGACCACTGCATTAAATGATAGCAGAAGAGGCAGAGACTGAGGATCCCTTTTACTCGAAATAGACAGAGGTTTCTCTTCTAAGTGGCTTTTTTGTACATGCTACTTTTTGTACATTGCTGTGGACCCTCTCACTACAGTTGCTGAGGGGCGAAGACAAAATTGGAGCAGGGCTACATAAGTGCCTGCATCTGTTTTGCAGATGTTGATATAGGATTACATACATCGATGTATGTGTGTCAAAGTGTCTAATTAAAACCTCAAACAACTTGCATTTTGTTTACTTTATTCGACTTAGCTGCGCTGCGACAACACTACATGCTGCCCCACTTTTCATCTGCTTTTTTCCATCACGGATGTGTTGACGAGCAAAAACGGACACTGGAACCTCTTAAGGGTGAACGCACGTTGCTACAGGATGTCAGTTCGCCTCGGATTTGGTCGGGGAGAAAAAAAAAACCCATCATCCCTAATGTAGTTCATTGCAATTAAACCTTTCATGCATCAATAATATGAACATATAAACAAAACTTGTCCCTCATGGAATTACATATTGACTGGAGAATCGATATAAATATTCAGATTGGACCACTGGTGTTGACTGACATTACTGCAGTTTGGCTCCAAAATGGTTGTTGATATGGCTGGCCCATCAACTTTATGTCGACATGCATGTCTGTTCTTAACAGCAGGACCATAAATATCGCACTGTCACCAGATGCTGCAAAAACTTTTATTTGCTTCTTTGTAATTCCTTTTCGAGACCGTGGTGAAAACCTGTGTGGTTTCTTTTTGTCTAGCTCATTATGGTTGCTAATATTTCATCTCTTGGCTCCATCTTTGAAAGAATGTTGAAAAGTTCATGTGGGGTGAAACCTGTCCATGTTGCCAGCGTAATACCAGAAAATTTGTGTTCGCTTGAGTGTGGGGAGGAGGAGTATTTTTAGAATAGATGTCCAAAGCCTTGCTGCTGAGTGACATGTTTGCCTCACCTTTTCTAGGCACTTGAGAACTTCAGGACGCTTCTAGACGCTCTGTCATATCCCACATTGTTTCTGTTCCCCAAGAATGCCTTCTCATGTTTCCGGATTTGTTGCCATAATAAGGAGACAGATGTCTTCGATCACGACGACTGATTGTTGGTTACAATAGATCTCCTGATTTTACTCCCCCCCCCCTTTTTTTTTAATGTATTTATTAATTCATTTGTTTGTTTTTTAACTCAGCCGCGCCACTTCCATCAGTCACAACTCCAGACTCTTCTGTACCTCAGAAAAAAAGATACCTTGGAAATTTACTCAGATGAAAGTTTGGATTTCAGCTTGAGCAGCCTCAATCAGTCAGTTGGAATGACCCCCTTGAGACCGGCTGTACATGTGAGATGTTAGACAGGAGAATGTAATAGGACAACTGCTACAATATGCATCACTACTGCTGCTACTCGTGTTGCTCTCCTGGCCCTTAGTGAATGATAGTTGATATTGATG